GAAACAAAGATTGTTTGTCAGAAAGAAAATTGGATCATACCCCTTTCCCAGAAAGGTGCTGTTCTTGGAAACACAGGTGTAGGGAAAAAACCAATACAAATAGACATAATTTTCCTATAAAGACCGTGCTTGTCATCATACTGCATTAATGAAGCAACTGGAAAGAGAAAATATAAATGTTTTGTTTCTTTGCGGTTCTCTACTTACATAGCACCTTTTTTAAAAAACTTTTTCTTTTTATTTAGTATTTTTCACGTTGCTTTTCTGGTATGTCTGGGGCTTTTTTTTTCTTTTTTGGAAAGTATGCTTTTTCATGTTAGTGTTAGGCGCGGATGCTGGATTTTTAGAAATCATTTATAACACTCTTGCTGTAGCCAATGGTCCCTTACATAATGAACTCCTTGAAACGACAACGTTAAAAAAAGGAAGTACATTTAATACAAGGTTGCAATTTCGAATAACCACAGAGTAAAAGGGGCGAATAAACTGGCCGAGGTAGGTGTTTTCAAATCCAGCGGTAGAAGAAGGTATAGGTCACTTTTCCTGACAATGTGTGTCGGTTTTACATTAAGTGATTTGTGGTGAAGAGGGAAAAACATCAGCCATGGAAGTGATTCTCTGTGAGGCGCTGCTAAGAGCTTCCTTCGTGCCTGACAAAACCAATCAGCGACTAGTTCGGCATATTGACAACCTATTAAACCATTAAGAGGCCAGATCTGCCTCTGTGAGATTCACATTTTAAAGACGGGCAAGGCTGGGAAAACCTCTCTCTTGCTCCCGACTTTGAGGAGGTAACTGGGCGGCGGTGGGCCGGCCCCGCTCCGCCGTGGTCCCCGCGCAGGCCGTGGGGCCAGGCCCGGGTCCTGCGGTGGCTGGCGGGGCCTGGGAGGCCCCAGGGCCCCGACCGAGGCTGAGGCTGGCCGCAGCTGCGAACATCTTGCCATATGTATAATAGATGTATAATATAGAACTAATATATAATATTATAACATATGTATAATATAGAACTAAAGCCTGCCCGGGCCGACAGGGGGCCCGCAGGGCCCCGGGAGCAGCTCTGGGTTGGGTCATCCCCCGCCCCAGCCCAGCCAGACCCGCAGCTCGGCTGGCATTCTGTCACTTTTGAGTTTCAACAGGAGCCGCTAGGCAGGGCGAGGACAAGCCCTCGGCCCTCGGCGGGTTGCTGCTGAGTCCCAGCCTGGCTGCTGAGATCCTAGCTTCCCCCAGTGCGCGGCCCACTGTTAAAAAAAGCTCCAGCCACCACCCAGCAGAGATTACATGGCCCTCCCTAGGCCCTGGGTGACATACTAACTCGTTTACTGTACAGATGAGACCTGTAAACATTAACCCTCTCTGAGTGAGAGAAAAGGACAGAGTGAAGACACGTAGAGAAACAACATGAAGACACCAAAGTCAGTAAAGAAGGAGTCAAATCTCAGAAGGGAGGAGGATGAGGAGATGCCTTAGTCTTGGGCTGAAATTCACTTGTGAGGCTATGCTGAATATATGATTGATACATCAGATCTTCTCCCTGCAACTCACAGAATGCATTTTGGGGGGATGTAGTGTTCTAACTACAGCCATGGGCAGAGGCACTCATGCTGAATTAAGTAGATGTTGAAGTAGCTGTGGTCCAAATGAGAACTTTGAATACAGAGAGGTAAAAGTGATTAAGACACTTTGCTCCCAGGGAAGGAAAAGAAAACCTCTGTTCTTGGAGTTGAAGATGATCTCAGGGATAGATGAAGAAAACATCCTTAAAAGAGTACCTCAATAAGCTGACATGGCCCATGAATGCGGCTGTGGAAAGGCTGCCAAAGATAGGAGTGACTTCATGATTGCAGATTTCTGGGCAGCCGCTATTCATGGAAATTAAAAGCCATGAGAGAACTGTTTCTCATGGAGAAGTCTCCATGTCATAGCAAGAGAGACTCCTCTTCCTAAGTGAACTGAAAAAAGGCTATTCTAGAGGTGGTAAACTGACTGAAAATCCCAGGTTTTGTCACTGTATGTTGTCAGTGGGAAAGAAAAGAAGGTTGTGGGGGAGGAGAAGTGTTCTGAAGGTTTTATTCTGATTCTTACTATTTTTTCTTTTAGTTCTGTTAATAAAGTTTTCTTTATACCCTTGAAAGTTTTGAGCCTGCTTTGCTCTTCTAATCCTGTCTCACAGCAGGAAAACGAGTAAACAATTCTAGTAGGTGCATTGGCATTTGACCAGCATTAGACCCACTGCATTAATTGATACATTGGCTGGGAAATCTCAAATTGGTGAACCAAAACCACTACACACTGATATCTGGATAAGCCATTCCCAGCACTCTTCAGTAATTGTTTGTTCTGCTTAAAGTAGTAAGATTTGAAGTGTACATGGCTTTTTCCTAGCTGTTGCCTGTATGGCCTTGTGTGCACTGAGGATTTGCCTAGGGCCATTAGATCCCATCATGCCATGATTGATTGATAGCTGCTGTAAGATGTTTTCTTTCATTATCATGGCAGAAAAACTGCACCTGATCAATAGCAGCAATAGTAGAAGCAGTTACATACTTACTTAAATGATATGCTGCAAGCACACTTAAAACTACATGATACGGTTGACTTAAATAACCTCACATTTGCAGAACAGCAGTAGGCAGGTAAAGACACTGCAAGATGGCAAAATGCGCCTACTTAATCTATTGTAATAGTAAAAGATCAAGTAAAAATGGTTTATTTTTTTCTTACATTTACACATAGGAGCATGAGGGAATTTCAGTGCTTTTACAAGAGAAGATGAGCTTGAGGGGGAAGATTATAGGCAGCCTATTAAAGGTGGATTTATATGATTCCTTTATTCTTTAAAAGCTGGAGTTTTTTTCAGCTTACAGAATGAGTTTACTTTCATATGAAGGACAGACAGTCTTTAAGGATAGTGTTTTTTCAGGGTTGAAATTTGAATACTATGAATTAGTCTCAGTAATGTATGTCAGATCACAGACTGCTCAGTTACATAATGTGTGTAGAAAGGGAAAAGGCCTCTTTAGACCATATTTTAGTGAGGCATGAGTTATGCCCACATGCAAGCATGAAGTTTGATACTGCAGCTTGATGCAGGTTGCCACAGGTAAATTATTTTTTTTTTCTTTTCTCCCCCCTCAATTCCTGAATGTGTAATATTTGAAATGGCATTAGGTGTAGCAAGTCTAAAGAGCTGTGTTTCATACCACTTGATACTGCATTGAGCCTTGAAAAATCTACATCATATTTACTTATGCTCAGCAAGTGTTGCATCTTTTCTAAGATACTCATTAAATTAAGGTGTTAAAAAAGGAAAAATAAAGACCTAAGCTATTATGTATTTTTCATTCCATTTCATGCTTCTCTATACTATTACTCATTGCCTAAGCTTGAAAAGCAATGCATTTGCTCTCAAACTTGAAGTTTCTCTCTTGCTCCTGTTCTCTGCTTTGGTTTGTTGTTTTTTTTTGTAATTGCGTGCTGTGTCCCCAAACTCTGAAACCATGAGCCTACGTGCTTATTTTCTGTTTGCTGCTGCTTCTATTCTGAATTCCTCTTTCTCACCTCCTTTCTTACTATGCAGCTCCTCGCTTGGTGTGTCTTCTGACCCACTCTGCACACTCCCACCACCTCCTCCTCTCACCACCTTATCTTTGTGTGCCTGTCTTCTCACTTCAGCATGCACCTCTCCTCAGCCTCCCTCAGTGTCTCACCATATCTGCCTATCTCATCTCCAGGTATCTAGATAAACACAGATAAGTGTATACATGTCCTTCTCCATTTATTCCTCTAAGATGGCTTCTGTATTTCTTTCTGTCTCCCAAAGGTTTTTTTTTTCCCCCTATGTTCTTTCTCCTTCAAGTGGTGGGGTGCTGTGGGGAACTTTGTGTGTGCCCCACGACACAGCGTTGCTGCTTTCTTAGAATGGTTTTGTCACACATGTTCGTCTGTACTGGTTTGCGGGGGCATGGGGAGGCAGAGAATTGAGAGGTCCATGAAGTTTTTTTTTTGACTACACCAAGACAGAGACCAAGATGTGGAAGGGTCCTGGATCATGAGAGACAGATATCATGGGGATATTTTTTGCTGCTCTTGAGAAGAGGTTGCCGTGACCTGCACTCAAAAACTCATTTCTCTATGGGCTGCTGTACTTAGAAAAGGTGGGAGCAATTTCCCCTATCAAGGACAGCTATTTTTATAGATACCTTTATAAAGCTTTGTTGGTTCTCTGAGTTAAAACCCTTTCAGGTCATGTTATACCAAACCTATTCAAAATGCCCTTAGAATGGAATGAACCGTGTCCCAGACCTGCCAATTGCTCTCTGTTACCTGCAAAGGGAATTCAGATAATTATCAGAGAGGTACATGCTGACATTTGATTAGATGAGTGTTGCTCACTGTTTCTGTACAGATGGAAAGAAAAAAAATTGTGTTGAGTCAGACAAGCAATTTGATGGTTTAGGAAAGGTATCCAGCACTCCCTTTAGCATCACAAACTGTCAGACAAATGGGGAGGTAAAGCCAAAGTAGAGCAAGGCTGTGCCAATAAGACATCTGATGAGGCTGCTAATAAGGAAGAATTACTCAAAGTCCTGTGTTTTACCAAGAGCTGATGTAAATACTGTGCAGAGCTAAAATTAGACAGAAGTGTTTAATACTTAATGTCTCAGGTTCTAGTCTTAACTGCAATATCACATCTTTCCAAACTCCCTTGAACTGACATTGGAGTTTTTTCCACTTTTTTTCCCTTCTCTGAAAAGGAATAATTCCTTGGTTGTTCCTTCCTACACCTGAGAATGCCCAAGGGAAAAAAAAATATCTGAGAGGAGCCAAGCTTGGTTTGAGGTTATTCTGTTGATGCTTGTGGAGGTTTTAACTGTTCTGTCAGAATACATTGTGCTGGTTGCTGACATCTTGTGTGCTTTGGCCAAATTCTTCCTGATTTTGTAACCTCTTCAATCACT